CCCTTGACCTAGAGTCTGGTAAAATCACACCTGGATCACATAGATTGCCAGTTGAAACAACAGTTGAATAAACTGTTGTGCCTACGTTCAGTGTTGGCATGATGTTAGCACTGGTAGGACTTCTAACCTGTCCTCATGGTAGGTCAATAGACACCACTCTGGTTGTTCCGGTAGGTTCACTAAGAACCGCAATTGGAGCAATAGATGCTCTTGACTCTTGTGTACCTATGTGTATGGGCTCCATACTCGAGGTGCACAGAATCGAAGTCGTAGGCTGGGGCAGAGGCCTACTATTTTCAATATCTACATTCTTCGAATGAGAAGTAGATAGGTTATGTGCTAAGTCCCCGTGAAGAATTGAAATAGCTGGTTGTTGAGAATCAGTTGAGTGGCCGGGATGGGTGTGCAAGTGCATAGCTAGGCTAGCTTTGTCTGCTTCAATACCAACATTCAATGAATGAATGTCGATAGTAGATGTGGGTGCCCGGCTAACTGTTTTAGCTGGGATAGGAGCTTGTTCATCATTTTGTGCTCCACTCTCACTCTCACTCTCACCATCACCATCTTTTTCTCCGTCCCGTTCACTCATCCTCTCTACATTTTTGACTTCAACGTCCTCATCTTCTACTACTGGAATATCGTCAATTAAACGATCAAATTCATCATATGTACCACCAAATTCATCAACATTGAAGGATAACGACTGTAGACTTGGGCAAGTCTGTGTAGCTTCTATTTCAGGAAAGATATCTTCAATGTTATCAATCACTGCTCCGACTTGAATATTATGAGAAAGCACAGGTTGAGCAGGATTGTCAGCATCATCATTTTGATCATCATTATCATCATCATCATGATCATCACCTTGATTTGCCTAATTATCATATATAGTATCCGAACATGAAGAAGTTGTGAAAGTACTTTCAGTTGAAGTATTGTGCTGATCAGAGGCTCCCCGCTCCACATTACCCTTCTCTTTTCATTTTCCAACTACTCACAACCCTGTTCAGGTAGCCCGTGTTTCTGAACGCTCTCAGCTATAGCTAGACCCTCTCCCTCGGCTAAGGCATGGGTTGGTCCTGGGGTAAGTTCAACCGGTTCTGGTTGAGCTATAAGATCTATAACTCTCCTGTAATCTATAACATAGGCAAAAAAACTCTAGTGGAATTTCCATAATAGAATCCAGATCTTCAACTTCTGTGTGTTGACGAATACGCCTCATGGTGAACGAAGGCCCAACTTCACTGCCTGCCTAGGTCGGGATGTCATCGTTGGAGTTCATCATGGCTTTAATGATTAATTGCAAAAACCTTTGAAACGGCACAAACTTCCTTACTTTGGACGGAAACGTTTGGCATTGACCAGCTCGACTAGTTCATTCCAAAATATTAGCGTGTAATCGTACTTACGCGTGTATACAATTTCGTGGAAGAACTTGAGAAAAAAACTGTTGCAGGTATCGATTTCGGCAGTCTTTGATATCAGGCATCGGTTGAGGATTGAAAATAGAAGATGCCATATCAACGAAAGAAATCATCGTTTGAACTGTGATGGATTAGTTGTGATAACCAGGCTTTTAGACATATTGGGTTAAGGTACATTATGTGTTTATGTGTTAATAAGCATGAATTAATTGGAAGTATGTGATTATGCATGCTAAATAAAATGGATTATATGTGTATGTGGTGTGAATGATTTCTGTCCACGTAATTGGAAGCAACATACAAGCACCTTGGTAAGCAGCTTGTATGATGCTGCTGAATGATTTATGTCCACATAA